ACAACAGATCAGAGAATCAAACAGTTCGAACAGTGGAAATACAATAATAACAAACACATAGAGCCATTGGTCCATGGGGAGCGGGATGTCCAGTGTTGGGTTGGTTACTTTGAAAATGTTCTAGTTACTGCCCCAAGAAAGTACTTTTGGATTCCTTTGTGTCACAAAACAAAATAAAGTTTGTATGTTTGCTTTAGTACATCCATTTAAATAACTACATCTACAAATAAGTTGTTCAAAACTGGCTCAAATGCCAGAATATTCCATTTAAATTCAATTCAATTTTATATCAGACTCTAGGCAGGACAAGTGCTGTATGAAGTTTGTTATAATGTGTGTCGGAAAAAGACAAGATAAGCTAAGATAAACTTTATATATCTCACAATGGGAAATGTACATGTATTTGGCATGAAATAGGATCATTCAAAGACATGATATGTGCTAAAAACATGGTATGAGTATTGTAAAGTACAGGGAGACTATCATCGCCTTGACCTCATCTCTACAGAGACAGACTTCTTCAGGCATTATACATCGCCCGGCTTTACCACTTTGCAAGGATTTAACTTTGAGACATTTTTTCCGACCAGCTTTTAACCACTCCGCCTCACCAAACACACGTTAAGCTCTCTTCTCTTCACTTTCTTTCAAACTCTGCAGCCTTTTTCTCTTGCCATGAAAGAATGAACACACTGTACACTGCTGCCATAATACTGTACTTTCTTCCACATGGTGCAAGCGTTTTTAGTAATAGGGCTGCTATAGTTCACCAGACTTGTCCAGGTACAAATACAGTAGGTCCCATTTCGTTTTGTCGTCTTCACTCACGCTTTTCATGAATCACGCAGCTGCGTGAAACATATTACATCCTATCGCCACAAGGTGGCAGGTTAAGTCCGCTTTAACTCTGCCAGCGACTTAAACGCTCAGGTATAACACTGCGTGCAAACTTGTTTTGCCTAGTGATACTATGTTGGCCGAATGGTTAGCGTCACAGGTTAGGACTCGGGGGATCCGGGTTCGATTCTTGTCTGAGGCACTTTTGGTTGCTTGTGTGCAATTACGTAACGTTATCAGCTTGTTATCTTCTTTCCTTGTCAAAAGGAAATGTCATGTTGTAAAATTGGTATTTTTATTCCTGCAGTTTGGTTGGTGCTGATTGTGGAGTTGAATTCCAATTGTATTTAAAGTTTACATGTTTATCAAGCTCCACGTGCACCGGTCTGCGCTACACTCACCTGAGAGAGAGAGAGAGAGAGAGAGAGAGAGAGAAGAGAGACACAGAGAGACAGAGAGAGAGAGAGATGTGTTGTAAAACGGTTTTATGGTTAGATAGAGTGACGCTGGGTTTGTGGAGTGAAAAGTAAACAATGCATCACACGCGCGGGGCGGCCTTTTCCTCATGTGTATGAGCTTATTACAAAAGCAGTACAAGAGAAGTCCTGCTAAAGTTTGGACTTAAGTGATGTCTGCAGTCTGAATCCCTCTCTCAGTGTGAGTTGTGTGTTTTACAATAGGTACCGTTTGACAAGCAAGACTGTGCCACAACCCCCATTATTTTCACTGCTTTTGTCAGTCATTCAGATCATCAGACAGCTCAACTATATAACTAACTGTGTTCCAGATAGATAGATAGCCTCTATGTTGCAGAGACAACATATACATAGTAGACGGGGCTGGAGTGCTTCTTGGATGTAAAAATTAAATGAGGAAAAAAGTGAGGGAAAAAGTAAACTTTTGGTGCTCTTCAGTGGAGGGACCAATGTTGATAGTTCAGACAGACGACTGAGGCACTCAAAAGTTACAAAAATCTTTAAAAGCCCTGAAGAAGGCCAGAAGGCTGAAACGCGTAGGCGTAATTTTAACCTCTTTTTATTTTGTCAAATAAAGGCTTTTAAAGATTTTTGTAACTTTTGAGTGCCTCAGTCTTCTGTCTGAACTAACAACATATACATATTTTGTACTAATGTTGATCTTTATAATTAAATTGCATTAACGTATATATTTAAAATAATTATGTATTGTCTATATAGAATTCTATGCCAATTCGAAAATAAAGACATTCTGAAAGCGATCTGCCTCTCGTGATCTTTTAGTGAGGTCTTCTCCTTGTATTTACTGTTTGGCTGAGCAAAGTTTTAATAGTATTGGTTAAAATAAATCCCATTATCAAACACTCTGGACGGCGTGATGTAAATAAGAGAGAGAGCGAGAGAAAGAGAGAGAGACGCTGACGCATTTTGGCTCAGTGCGCTGGTGTGCAATCAATGGAATACATCACAAAACACATCAAACAAGATCCACTCAGTTTTATCATTGGAGGAAATGTTTATTAAATTAGCAATTGGCACCTTGACAAAACACTGGATATAGAAATCCTAACAATAGTTGGCTAATAGTAGGCTAACGTGGACATCCCTTGGCCCGTGGGGCCATCGGTTGAACACCGATTTATCTTGGGGAGTGGGCTTGGATTTTTACACACACACCCTCCCTCCCCCTGCCGCCCACTCCCGGTGTTTTTTTCCCGGTCCCCATAAGATCAGATGTTTTGCATATGTGAAGATAAACTGGATTTTCGACATTCCTGTGGACTCGAGCCCTGGTCAATCTAGTTCAATACAGTTCAGATCCTACGCAGCTTTAAGAAAGAAAATGTTCTGTCATTTTATGTTTCCATATAAAAAGTAAGACATGTTGTTCATAAAAATGGCCAAAAATGCCTATATTTTGGGCAACGGAATAAAAATAATGGATTGCGCCAGATTAAAATGTATGGTTTCATTTTATTGACATATTAGTAACTAAGATTTTAGCAGATGGGATTTTGGATATATTGTTTAGTTTTTCAATTGACTAATCATAATGAAAAAATCTGTAAAAACTCCAATTCCGCCTGTTTTTTTTGGGTTCAAAGCTGAATAAATCAGGCTAGGCTATTAAAAAATCCCTCTGAAAAAACCTTCTAAATATTGTTACGTCCAAGACTGGAAAGTTTGGAGTCTGTATGAGCGACTACAATATAAGGCACTGCATGAAAAGTTAGATTTTCGTCACCCTAAACGGCAGGAAATCACGCTCTTCTTTGGGTATCTCAGGCAAAATGCACAGTTAGGGTGCCCTGTCCTCCAAACTGCCGCATCCGTACCATGCTAATGTCCCTACTTTGCATATGAATGCAGCGAAACACTGCGGCCGGCCGAGCGCTAATGGCCCTAATTAGCATATGAATGCAGTGGCGGATACCACTACTTTCAAACTCGTGATTGGCTGAAAAATCACACGTGGCCAGCCCACGTGGGATTACTCCCCATTAGTAGTTTACTCCCCATTGGATGAAGCTTACTCCCCATTGGATGAAATCACTACTTTCAAACAAGTATAATCTTTCGTGATTGGCTGGCAGATCTGTCACTATTGGTCACCCTGCCTCATAATTAATGCAATATTTATATAAATATGTATTAATTCATATTATGCTGCATATATTTTATCCTATGTAGGCTACTACACTATTATTAGGCCATCAATAACATGAATGAATTTATAGAGGAAATGAAAATTTTCCAGGAATATGAATAGTAATAGTAATAGTAATAGAATGAATAGTGGCAACCCGTGCGTTAATGCCCCCAGCCATGTGTGACACCCAGCGCGTTTTACAAGTTTAATAAAGTCTAGCAACTATTTTAAATGTGTTGGCCTAATTACTAAGTATGTTTTAGAAAAAATGTAAACGTCAACAAAATCAAAAGTGTGATAGCCTGTACTTGAACCCGGGTCCTCTCGCACCAGAGTCCAGCTCCTTATCATTGAGCTATAAAGCCACAGAAAGTTGTCCGGTGAAGAGAGAACAAAGAGCCAATGTTCCTAACCCTGCTCACAAGTGCCATCTGGTGGTTGTTTGGGTCATTGCAGTATCACTGGAAAAAAAAAAAAAAAAAGACGCGTGTTTCACACGTGAGTCTCGTGCTATTCACGTGAAAGGCGACAAAACGAAATGGGACCTACTGTAACCTGGATTTTAAGACGGTTTTGACTGGAATGGGGCTGTTCTGAGCTTTATGATGGGCTATTAAAGCATGTATGTACTGGTTCAGGTTTTACAGAGATGAAGTTGGATGAATGACACGTGTTGACTTTCTCACATTTGACAAATTTTTGGGACACAATCAAAAACAAATTTGAGTAGAAACATATAAAAGGACTGGTAAATAGATATATAGATGGATACTTTATTGATCCTCTTGTTGATGAATGCAGAGTCTGCTTGGTTTGCACCATTTTCTCTGAAACTCTGAATGCTTTATTAGCATATTTCAAAAACAAACTAGTTTTCCTCCAGTGGATTTACGCTTGATCTGCTTGGTTGGGGCCGTGCATCCTTTCCGCTCTGTTCTGGATCAGTGTAAAACCATGGACACTGTACTGTAGTAACATTTAAAGTTAGAAAAAAGCAATAAAAATAAAGCAAAAAAAACTGTTTCAGAGCTGCTTAGGACTTGCTTCCTTTTCCAGTGCATTCAGAATTAACGAATAATTAGCTGGCCCTTTCAGTACAAAATAAGTCCACAACTGCTTTGACTTATGCTTATTTACCTTAATCCCCTCTTTTTCGGTGTGTGTCTGTATTTGTATGTACACAATTGAGGGCCTAGTATTCAATATCTTCTTGGTTTTGTTGCTCCCGCTGATACTAGGGGCACCCCAAGGTTCAGTACTTGGACCAGTCATCCTTATACTTGTCTCTCTATGTCCACACAAATTATACACATACGCAAACCACATTATTAATCATTAAGTAACAACGTTTACCAGGAGGTACAAGAAGGTGGTCCTGGAAGCATAAAAAGTAACTAATGGATTTGCTATCCCAGCTAGCTCCTATCTCCACAGTTATCAGCAGGAGTGATTGACCCAATGCACTGTTGGTTTTAAAATATGTAAATCTCAATCATTTTATTAAATTTCTCCAATCTTCTCGTGTTCCTGCTCCACAGTTTGGTGTCTATAATCCGAGGCCAGGTGCTGACGGCTGACGGGACGCCCCTCATCGGAGTCAATGTGACCTTCGTTCACTATCCGGAACACGGCTACACGGTCACGCGCAAGGATGGCATGTAAGAAGGATTTCTCTACTTCAACAGTTAGACTTCAAGATTTCAAGCTTACTCAACTTACTATATTGGTTTCAAACTTGTGTGAATTTTACAAAAGCAGGATGCAAAATAAATCTGAAATACACGGTTTGAAAAGGGGTTGGATGAACTAAATAGATACATATATACATACATACATACATTTTCTCGCAATAATTTCCGTTTCTTCTTGTTTATTAATTCTTCTGTCATTAGTCACCAACTAGAGCAATGTCATACACTCAAAAACAAAGTATTTTCCAAAAGCTGACGATGAGTTGAAGTTTTGTCTGCATGTACTTTTCTCCACACTACATACACACAAATATACATATACATACACATGAATACAGTACACACATCTTAAATGATCCAATATCCCTGTAGAATCACATGTGTAGGCTAAACATTTGTACCCAGTAATGCTATACAATAATGTATTATTAACTATCATCGAGGACTTTACACAATTGGCGATTCACCAACAGCAGATGAGAGAATGCTCTATAATGTTAATAAATGTCCATAACTGTTATACAATATAGTTATATTTATATTTCAATGCTACATGTTTATAAGCCAACTTGGTGATCTTCAAAATGTACAAATTATACAACTTTTGAGCTAAAAGTTGGACACATCTATATGGCTGTTTCCTATTGAGTTTTAAGTATGAGAGGTTTTTATCAAGTCAAAAACTTTATAATATACACAACATTTATGAGCAAAAAACATTTTCTTGTCTGCGGTTGCATGTATACGGGCACATATGGCCGTTTATTCCCACCTCAGCCTTGACTTTGAGGCCAAAGATTTTCTCAGTTATTGAGCCACATTTAGAATGCAGTGCGATATTGGATAAAGTTGTTCTCAATAAAGTGAATACATCGGCAAAAGTTTGAGTTGTATTGTTGGATTCAAGTCACCTAATATTCAGCTACAATAAAGTTGTTTAATGCCCAGGGAAAAAAGTCTTGCACTGACAGACCAAAAAATATTCAAATTCTCACTCACAAGTTGACCGGAATGCTAAGTCATGTCCCTGCTGTAAAAATTAAACTTAATGTATATATTTTTGTACAGAAACACACATATGTAGGTTTGTCAATCACGTATTAGAAAATCAAAACAGTCAAACAATCATTGGTCAAGAAAGACAAACATTAGCTGATCATATAAATTACAGGGGAAACTCGGAAAATTAGAATATTGTTTAAAATCTTTCTCTCTCACGCGTTCACATATGCATACACAAACACGCACACACTAACACACACACATACATTCCCGCAAACCCCACAAAGTGAGGTCCTAGTTAAAAACATGCAAACTGAATATTTGCCTTTCCCATTGTTTTAAGAAGAAGAAACACACACATAAACGCACACACACACACACACACACACATACACAACATGGTTAAAAACAACATGGATTATTACGAAAGAATAGAAAAAGTTTCATCCACCAGCTTTTAAATGGACCTCCACCTATCATTTTTCCATATTCCACTGAGTTGCAACCTTGTAGACGAATGCAGCCAACATAACGGTGAAGATATTTCATAAAGAATAACAATTGTGCAATCAAAGACCAGTGGAACAAAGTATATAACCATACGCCCTATCAGTCCCTGCTCTCCTGTCTTCTATCCAGCCGTTGTGTGTGTGTGTGTGTGTGTGGGAGGTGCAGAGTGCAAAGACTCTTTTAAAATGCATTGGATTCACATGGACACAATCAATCACCCGCATACACACACACAACACACACACACGTACACGCCCACTCTCGCTGCACACATGTTGAGGTGAAGGGCTTCTAAACACACCACTAAAACATAAAGAATAAGTAATGATATGCACATACATCAGAATGGAAATCGACTGCCACACAAGCAGTTAAACAAGGTAATTTACGAGTCAACCAAGACATCGTGATGAGAAGGCCAAATATGCAGCTGTAATAGGCACACGGCTATCGAATGGTGGCTCTAATGAGGAATATGGGAGCTGTCGGCACATAACAGGTGACTTAATGTGTTTTTCATTGGGTTTTCTTCCTCAGGTTTGACCTCTTGGCCAATGGCGGAGCTTCGTTGACGCTGAGTTTTGAGCGATCTCCCTTCCTAACGCAGTACAGGACGGTGTGGGTGCCTTGGAATGTGTTCTACGTGATGGACACACTGGTCATGAAGAAGGTAAGACGACGTTTAAGGGTTGTGGCAAATAACAGCATAAAGCATTACTACTACTACTACTGCTTTACTTTTAAGTTGCTTTCACCAAATATGTATATATATATCAATACTAAATGTAGCTTTTGATGCTATTGTGAGGTTGATAGAGCTTTTAGTTTGGCACATAAAGTACATTTAACTGTTATGATCCACATCTTGGTCTCCAAAAAACTCTAAATAATGGGAGTCAGCCATCTTCAACCAGAAAGGAACAACAATTTTTGGTGGCTACTATTGGCACAGATTTGTTTCCCCCTTAATGATCTCGAAGCAGCACAAACCAGAATTAAATTTTGAGTTAACTGACTGTATAGAGTAAAATATTACCCAGTTTTTTCGGGTTTTTTTCAATTCCTTACATTACCGCGTAAAGCAAAAAGCAATACATTACAGCAATTACATTACCTTTGTAACACACTACTTCCATCACTGGTAATCGATAAGAATGACTGCTCTATAAGCTTTACTAGAACATATTCATAGCCAGCTCCTCCTGCTCACCTCCTGACTTATATCAATCAATCAGATTTATTAGCTCATGATAAAGTAGTGGTTAAACGCTGAGTCACATCTGAGCTGCTAATGGCCTATCCACAATATAATACTGTATACACCTCCACATCTAACCTTTTTAACTTCATCCCCACTTTATCTGTGCGTTTATGTATTTGTATATACACAACTGAGAGCCATGTGTACGGTATGATCATGGTTTTCTTGCGCCCGCAGGTAATAGGGGCACCTCAAGGTTCAGTAATTGGACCAGTTATCCTTATACTTAACTCTCTATGTACACACAAACTATATACAAACATAGAGTAACATTTGTATCCCTATCTAATTGTATAATCACAATTCAGGGCCTAGTACTACAGAGTATGTTGTTTTCATTAGACCCACATCTTCAAGGGGTACCTCAAGGTTCAGTACTTGGTCCGGTTATCTTTATTCTCGTCTCTTTATGTACACACAATCTCTATACAAACACAGAGCACCACTTATATCATTATGTATCTATGTTTACTAGGAAGAGAACGACATCCCCAGCTGTGATCTGAGTGGTTTTGTCCGACCAAACCCAGTCATTGTGGCTTCTCCTTTATCGACGTTCTACCGGAGCTCGCCAGAAGATGGACCAATCGTTCCAGAGACACAGGTTAGAAGCTCATTTTCTGTCTTGTCTTTTATTGTTTATACAGCTGGCTTGCAGGGCCATAGAGAATTGCTTGTTGCTTGAAATATATTTCATTCTGTAGACATCTTAGCTTTTCATTGCAGCAGATAGGTCATTCACAGACTGTTAACAATCACAATCGAGAGAAGACATATGGTTTGAACTGTCTAGACCGAGATTTCTCTTAGCAACCTTTTATAGGAGCTGCAGTCAATCCAATGAACCATAATCACAACCACACTAGCTTACTATGCGCTCCGTTTACCGAGAATAAGAGCAGACATTTTGGATTCGAGCCTAGACAGGACCTTGGTGAGTTTAAACTTAGTGTGTTTTGGATGCGTTGGCAAAGGTTCTTGAGAAACAGCTGTAAAAATGTGTCTGAAATCTGGCCCAATCCAAATGAATGGTGTCGGTAGAGGTGACAGAGTGTGAGAGAGAACATGCTTGGTCTCCTAGTGTTATACATCCAATTAAAACAATGTTATTTTCACACTGAGATGGCAGAAGATCTTACAATACATGCTTTGACTGCGAGCGGTTTTATGTCTCCAAAACATTGGCTCCAAAACAATATGTGTGAACGGTCCCAGGCTTGTGACAAACCAATCCAATTCAGAAATCCTCCCAGAGAAGTTGCACAGAGCACTTCTAAATTCACTTTGAAGACGTGAGCGAAACATGTAAACAGCCTTGTCTAGACAGGCAAAGGTCCGCCGTGAATAGCGACATAATAAATTGTTTAAAATTATCGCTTAAATCAATCTAATGCCTTCAGAGGACGCATTCGGAATGAAAACAAAGGTGTACAAAGCGCTGTGCTTTCAAATCTTTGTTTTAATACATGCAGCAGGAACATTATCTATCAGAGGAGCAGGATCTCTCAATGGCTGTTTACTAAGCGGTTTTATAATAGACATGCAAATCTTTCACATCACCTCCATCCTTGACCTAGCCTGAAAGCTGGAGTCCCCAACTTTTCTTCATAAAAAACATATTCTTTTTTATTCCTGATGAAAGCAACAGAAAGTCCTTGAAAAGTTGCATTTTGTGAACAAGTTGAACCACGAATGCTGTCTTTGTCGTATTATGTATCCGTATATATTTTTATGCTACAAAAAAAGAGACATTAGAGTCACTACACTGCATAAAGTGTTGAAAAATAAGTCAAACATTTCTCAAATTTGGCAAAGCTGTTTTAAAGACGTGACGGAGGCCAAGAACTTTAAATTGTTATAGACCCAATCCTGTGCTTGCATGAGTTCTGTATAAATGAGTCAAAATAAAAATAAACTATTTTGAGAGCAGAAAACTTGTTTGATGGGTCTCAAAGTCATTTAAGTTACCAATTTGCATAATTCTTTTGACATTTGGTTTTATGGGTCATCATTAATTGGGACCAATGACAAGTTTACATTCCATAATTTCTGATGTTATCTAACAATCTTGTGTAAAATTTTGCACGTTTTTAGCCATAATTGTCATTTTTTTAACACGTCTCCTTGAAGACCGCCTGAATTCCTATGTTTTTCCTACATTTTTTGTTTTCCCTCTATGCTCTCATTACTCTTGTATTTTTGCAAAGGACTACATCAGAATCAGAATCTTTGTGTTGCCATTGTGAGTAAGAGGAAGACACACAACTCACACAACTAGGAAATTGCTTTGGCTCTCGGTGCAAACAAGTTACAAAAGTAAAACAAATCAATAAGGCATGTATAAAAATAAATCAAAAATCTACATTTCATAAAATCACTATAACAAATATACATAAATTACTGCAAAATGTACACAAGTGCACACTAAGTACAGACAATAGACGTTTAGCAGTGCAGTAAAGTGCAGTAACAGTCATAAAAGGGGCCGTGATGAGTGAGGATAAATGCACACAAATTCCAATGACAGGCACACAATTGAAATATCTACACAACCGAACGCAAACGTTATTGCCTCGCTTCCATGTCAAAACCACATCTATCTGTCACACACACACACACACACACACACACACAGCACTGGGCACCAAGACGTCGTAGATCCAACCCACGTCTCTAAGAACAACACAGGGACCACAGCTGAGGGACTGCGGCCTGGAGAGTCAGATTTATTGGAAACACAGGCAGTAAAAAGCCGCCCCGCCCTGCTCCCACCTCTAATTGCCTATAAGCCTAATAGCATGTTTTCTTTGGCGAGTGTAGCAGCAGCTCATCACGGAGGAATGCAGTAATTGGTGTGTTATCTTTGTGCGAAGGGGGGGCGAAAAAAGGGAAAACTAAGTGTCTAATGATTGCAAGATTGAGCGAGAGGTGCTTGGTTTGTGTGGGAAGGAGAACACTGTAAAAAATCAATAGAAGTAAGATTAGTTTTGGGGTTTGAGGACTGTCGACAAATGGGGTTTTTAATTGGTAAGTAAACAGCTGCGATATTAGTTCAAATGTCATTCAAATGGCTGAGATATGTGCTAAAAATGACCAATAATCTACCTGTATGTAACTATGGCAACGACCCAAGCAAATTCCTCACATTTTAACACAAATCTCAGAAGTATTTAAATTGTTTTCTTAACGTTCATATCCCCAGAGTGAATTTTTGCATCTCTGTTAGCTAACAGGAGCTAGCCACATTAGTAGTAGTTGCGGATATGGACCTCTCCAAACTTTCTCACTTTTGTTCCACTAATCTGTTGTTGAGTAATCGACAACTTTGTAGAGCCCTCAGCGAGACAACTTTTATAATTTAGGGCTATAACAAAAATAAATAGAATTTCATGAAATATATATTTTTTTTCAAGATTGATAGAACACACACACACATACTTACATACACTGCAAAAAATGTTAAAATATGAGATAATAATTGCGTAAATCATGTGGTTTTTATCTTCTGTCTGAAAACAAGATTTGCCAAAGGGACAAGCAAAATTATGTATACATACACACACGCACACACACACACATAGACCGATTTACCACACTATCCATGCCCCATTTTGATGCAGTCTACACATCATACAACCCCACACAGTAGCCTCATAAGACCCAGGGTTTTTTTTTTTTTTTGGTCAACTTTCCTCCTACTGATGTGTCTCTCTCTTTCTTTGCTTATGGGGAAGTGGGCAGCTGTTGAAGTGTGCGTCTGTGTGCGTGCGTATGTGTGTAGGCCTGGATCAAACGCAGGCCGATGGAAAAGCGGCGGCTACTTAAGCTTTTGCCGGTGCCGAGTCCATTAGCGAAGAGGCCAGCGAAAGGGCAGTCTTAAAGGGGATGTAATGGGGCTGTAATGAACACTAAATGCCTGCCTAATGAAAAGGCAATAGCGCTGTTGAAAAATATACCACCGAGCTGTGCGGATGTCAGAATCCCCAGGGAGATATTCCTTCTTCTTTTCTTTTCCTTTTTGCCCTTCTTAATGGTCACTGGATCCTTAGAGACGTCCCCTTTATTCTCTGGCATAGAGTGTTAACCAAGGGGCCAAGGGCAGCGGGTGCACAAAAAAAAGAAAAAAAAGTTGATTGTATATTATTGTTTTTGATCTAAATATAAAGGGCATATTTTTGTTGATTTTTTAAAAACATAAACAGAATATTTCAATGGGGAAAAGTGATGTAATTGATTGAAATATGGTCTTTTTATGTGTCTTGATAGCCCTTTAAACCTATTCATAGTATACACGCACACACACACACACATACACACACGCACACACACCCGCACAAACCCATACACACATTCAGAGACACACACACAAACATGTCACTCGATCCTTAGAGACTTCCCCTTTAACTCTCTGGCATATTGTGTTAATCAAAGGGCCAAGGGCAACGGGTGAAGTCAAAAATAAATTATAAAAAAATTTAAAGTAGATTTTATATTTTTTGGACGGCAGTACAAAGAACTGATTTTATATGATTTATTTAAAATGTAAACAGAATATTTCAATGGGGGAAAGTGATGTAGTTGATTGAAATATGGTATTTTTTTTTTACATTGGCATATAAAAAAATATAAAAAAAAGGCTAATACCATATTATTATTTTCAATTGGGAAATATATCTGCATTTCTTAAGGCAACAAATTGCAAAAAATTATTATGAAATGTATTAACTTTTTAGGACATTGGACCAATCAGTTGAACCAATGTGTTTGTTTGGCTTTTGAGCTGTCTGATTGTCTGATCTGTTCTTGGCGAAGTCTGAGATGACTGCTGTTGTGATTTAGGGCTCTACAAATATGAAACTAATTGAATTGAAATTGAAACGCTGCAAATATGTGTAGGAATAAGAAACTAAGGCTATGATGGATATTACATGTTAAAGAGGTGATGTACTGTATGGTTTGTGGTGGGGGCCTACAGCTAAATATAGTGCCTCTGTGCCGTTGGGCAAGACACGTTGTGAAGAAATAATGAAATAAATGCATGTATTGTAGACCTGTTATACACAAATATTATCAAGATCATGTTTATGCACCAAAATACAGCTTGATATTCTTCTTATTTAAGTTTTTTGGTCCAAAAGTTTTTAACAGAGACTGAATTCTAATGTATTCTATTCAAATCCTTCACAATAATTATTCCAAAGAACAGAAATGACAGTCTCCCAAGTAAAACATTATTAATATTTTTCCAAATTCAGCGGTAAATGTTATGGGCTTGTAAACAGCGCACATTTGAGCCGCATCGATCCAAGCTAGGCTCATTAGCATTTTGTTTTTCCGTTGAAGTTAACTGTACTTTTTCTCCGCCTCATTAAATATGCAGCGTGGGAATATTTATCACTGGACAAAAAAACTGCTCCAATATTTTCCCTTCCACCCACTCGTCTGTTTGTAGAATCTCTGCTTGAATTTGAGATTGAATGGTTTTCATTCTGAATATTTTAATTGTTATGCTAAAATAGAAGAAGAGGTCGTCCATTGTTGTGAAAGTCGGGTTTTTGGTCGATGAGTTTGAGTCCAATTGAACAAGACGGTTCTAAAGCCCAA